CAGGCACACGGCACAGCCCGAAACTCAAGAGTCTCTGCAAGTCCTGAACAGATGGGAAGTCAACCTTATACATATTGCCCTCAATACTGACAAGCTCCCACTGGTAGTCACCTGGAACTAGCTCCTTAAGCCTCTGCACAATCTGAGACTCGGACACATCACATTTGGTCACTTTCACAATTCCAGTAGTCATGCATGGAGTCTCCTCTGGGATATCTCGCACACTAGGGGACTCAAAGAACATCAGCTCAGCACAATACACACCATAAATAGAGATAGTGGGCATCCGATCACGCAAGATAGGACACTCCCCCGTACCATGTGTCGGCTTGCCGCAAGTATTACAAAGCTCAGTTACGCAATCCGCAATAAAGTGGCCCTTCTCACCACAACGATAGCAAAGCATCTTCTCCTTCTTGCGAGCCCATTTGGACGCTTTATATGACTCTGCTTTGTCTGTATTATCAACCGACCCCGATGCTGTGGCAGCAACCGTTGCCAGCTCTGTGACCACCTCCATGGCGTGATCTGACAAATCTGCCGTGTGAGCATGATTGGTTGTCTCAGTGGTGTCCGTCTGCTCAACGACGGTCGGCGGAGGAGGATGACGTTGCCGGTACCGGCCACCTCGGCCACCTCGACCACGATGACCACGGTAGCCAGCATGCTACCGGTGGTTAGGGCCTGATGCCCCTTCAACAAAGCCTCCCGGGGGGCCATAAAAAGGTTTGTCCGCTGATCCATCGCTTTGCCAAGCATGCCCACGTCCACCACCTGTGGACGATGAACCTCGGTGTATACCTTCACCATAAACATCATGTCCGTCATCACCCCATTGACCCCGCGGCGGTCCATTTGCTCCACCGTTGGCTGGTCCCCGGGGCACACCCGCTCCTCCAGTTCCCGACTGAGGCGGCGGTGCCTGAGCATGCACCCGGCCGGGCCGTTTCTGCGGCGGCCGCGTAACGAGGTGCGGCGGTGGAGCAGCACGTACAGCCGGTGTAGGCGGCGACGGCCTCGGACCGTGCGCCCGGTCTCGCCCTGCTGAAGCAAGCGCCGACAAGGCCCCAACCGGAGTTGCTGCTGGCGCCGGTGGCCTAGGAGCAGGCGGGCCGCCACGACCCACCGCCGGCACCGAAGGCCAGACGCTGTGGTGACCACCACCGCGACCCAGCGTGCCCTGTGGCGCTCCGGCTCCCACTGAAGCCCCAGCGACGCCCCGCCCAGCCGTTACAGGAGGCGGCGCAGCCGACCCATCGCGCCCGGTGGCAGCAACTGCCAGAGGGGGATTCTTCCCCGTCGGAACCCCTGCCCCGCGACCAGCCATCGCAGAGAGCGGCAGAATCCGGTGCGCACGTCCAGAGCCACAAACCTGAAATCCCGGCCTCCCGCACCTTCGAACCCTAGGCGCAAGTGGCGATATCGACGTCGATTGATCGACGTGATTTTTGCATATGCCTGCGCACGCAAGGACCGAGGGACCCGGAATAGTCTGGGCCTCATACCCAACTATCTCCGGCTCAACATGCTGCGGCGTTCGTACTGGCGAAGTTGGCCCATCTCGGCCCAGTAGAGAAATCAAACGTTCCTCCCGAGCCGCCCTGATCCCAATCCCCGGGATCGCCGGCATGTTCGCCGCTGCCGCCATCGGCGTTGGTCCGGCCATGTTTCGACGCTTGCTCTTCCTTCTCTTAACTGTAATCCAGGACTCGGGATGAATCAAATCAAAAAGAGTTAGGGTCGGGAGGCATACCTTAGGTAGGGGTCCCCTCCAAGGCTTGATCGATGACTCCGCCGTACTCTGGCGAACTGGCATGCATTCTGAACTTCCTTTGCCTGCAGGAGTCGGCTCTTGACACGCCACCCGGGTATTAGGACCAACAGCGTCAAAAGTCATCGAAGGATCCGGCGATTCGCGAGAGCATTTCCCATCGGCGCTCTCCTCCTCGTCATCCTCGTCCGCAAGCACCCAGAAGCGGCCTCCAACCCGCCGATCTAGCTTCCCGCCGCTAGACTCCGGTGATGTGTCAACTATCTCGATCAAATGAACCTCTTCCGAAACCATCTGCATACGGAGATCGACAACCACATCGAAAATATCAATACGCAAAAGGGTTCCTACCTTCATCTGGCCGTCAATGTCGATGTAGTTGCCGGCGCGGACGTCATTGTCCAGATCCAGCAACGCCGTCCAACGAGATGCCGGAGAATGGTGCAGCCGGCCGCTGATCCAATTCCCCTGGCCCTCACGGAACCTAACGGCCCAGCGCCATCCCTCCGCCGCCGGCGCACCATCCTCGCCGGTGTCGTTGATCAGATCCGAATGGACGATATCAGGTAACAGTGTCGAGGCCTTCGGCGTCGAGGGCGAAGCGGTGCACGGCAGATCCGGTGACGCATCCGACGTCCGCCCACGGCGCCCGGAGTCCATCCCCCGCTACTCAGTATTGGCAGATTAAGCAGTAAAAAACAATGGATTTCAATCTCCATAAGTTAACGATGCCGTACAGAAAGGGCAGTTCAGCATCAGTCATGTTTGCACACTATTTCCGACTTAAGTCATTGAATTGGTAAATCCGGCTGCGCAAAATTTCCAAATGACTTTAAAGTGGCATGACTCCACCTTACGGTTGTGTGATGTAGGCGATGTCGTTTAGTAGGAATAATGTATCTCACGTTATATCCCCGTCCCGAGGATGTGCCTAGCATCATCAAAGGGCGTGTGAAGCAGGAGCGGAACCAGCGTGTAGGGGTTGGGTTCGGATGAACCCAACGATGTTTTCACGTCACGTATATATGTACACGTATTCACTTGTATGAACCCAATATAAATGCATGGTTGAACCCATTAAAGCTAGGACGCACGACGGCACGAGTAAGAAGCCTCTTGGCCCATTGAAAATTTATTATAACATGATGAATAGTAGCCCAACAAAAAGCCTACAGTTATTTCTCATCAAATACGAAAGAGCCCACAGGTGACAGTTGACTACGATGCCATCCACGCACGATTCCACATCCTGTACGCAACAAACCCCGTGCTTATCGTTTCCCCAAGTTCGTTTCCCTACCCGGCCCCTCGGTGTCTCATCTCCACATTCCCCCGTCATGGCGCCAGATCGCCAGTCCCCGGCGGCAAGCCGACAACGGCAAGTCGGCCATCGGCGATGGCTGGCAATTGAAGTCCCAACTGAAGGTAATCATATCACGCCGTCCTTTTTGTGTGGCATTACGCTTTACCCTAATTTTCCAATTAATTTCCCTGAACTTAGATTGGTCTATACTATGCTATGCAATAATATTTCTCAAAAAGAAATCGACCATCAGATTGATGTTGGCACTTCAGGGCCAACGTTAGATGTAGGCAATACATCAAAAACTATCTCCCAAAGTTTCTATTGAGACAGAAATAACTTTAGATGATCTGCCATATGATGTGTTTCATCTATTTATGATAATAATGAAATATCGAAAGGGTACACACTAAAATGTGAGTGACTTTACATGCTTCTTTCGCTTGATGGTACTACTTACGTTAAATTTGTCATACTAACTTATCATTTTTTCCAAAGGTTTTTAACGAGATGAGAAGCTGCACTTGAAGCTATGAAGTTATTTCGGTACTACCCTGTCTATAAAATGAAAATGAGGGATTTTATAATTTCATCCACTGGTATGTCTTGCACTCTTTGGTTTTACATTTAATCAATATATGCGATAATTGATACCATATTTCAGTTTGTTGCATTGTCTTTGAGTGTTGTACTCTTGTTGTAAGATTTGTTGAAAAGACTATTGTTGTAAGATAGTTTGAATCGGACATTACACTTAATTAATTAATACCAAATCCTCACAATGAGCTAATGAGTGAACCCATTGACAAAATTTTCTGGCTCCGCCCCTGGTGTGAAGGTGTGTCTCCGTCAGATCTCGCGGGATTCGGTCAGTGTTGGTTTTCGATGGATCTGTTTGGATCCGGTCTTCGTTCGTCTTTGTTTGAGTGTTTACATGTTTGATCCTTCTGATCTACGACTTTCTTCATCGGCGATGGTTGCTTCTTTGATGCGTTAGTCCTATAGGGCCTTAGCACGACGACTTTCCGACTGTCTACTACAACAATGTTTGCCTGGCTATAGTGATTGAGGGGCGATGACAGCGGCGCGCCTTCGGCTCGCTTCAATGCTTGGAGTCATCGTTGAGTGGTCCATGAACATGGTTGTAATTTTTATTATCTATGTTATTTTCTGTATTGTCATGGTTGAAAATGAATAGATTGAGTTTCGGGAAAAGAAATGGCTCTCTCTACGTAAGTGTCCTGCCCCCATCAGAAGCTGCACTCGCACATATACATAGTACTTGTTTCGCGCTGGGACAGAGCCGGCAGGGAGCGGCATTGGGAAGCACGGTGTCCATGCTCCATGCAGATCCAAGGCGTGGATTAGGCATGCTGTCACAGGCAACTGTGACTGGAGTTGGCGAAGCATGGAGTGGGAGCAGTAGCTGGTTTGTCTCCCTTGACTCGGGGGCATGTGCTGCGGCATGTCCATGTGGCGGACGACGAGGAACGCATCAAGGGTTAAATAACGGCTGATAGAGAAGAACCCACGCGTACGCACATGCCCCCTCGATCTGGCTCTCACGTCTCGTGACACCATTGACGCCGGTACCTATCCTATCCTGAATGTGTCTAGCTTGACCATGCATTCGGCAGTACGTTTTCCCGCGCGCCCGCTGCTTGGCCCCCTGGAGCCCCAACACCATGTCTTCCTCTCCCTCGGCCGCCACGAGCCCACGACGATTTCACTCTCTCCATATCGACCTCCACTGTCACCGTGCATCGAACGTAGCCATCGGCCGCGGTGCCCCGCGCGCGTATATATACGGCACGCATCGACCTCACTGCGTTGCCGGAGTAGCTAGAAACAGCACAAGCTTTCAGCTGTAAGATCGCGCACAGGGAAAACAGTTGTCGAAGGGAAGGAGAGCAAGCCACCGGCGCCATGGAGCTGGAGCTGGGGCTTGCGCCACCCAACCACGCCGGCCAGTCGGCGGGCTCGTGCGGGAAGAGGGGCTCGGCGCCGGCGGGGGCGTTCGGGGTCACCAAGACCACGCTGCCACACTTCCCGCGCGACGACGACGGCGACGACAGCTGGGAAGACGGCACTGGCGGCGCCCTCGATTGGCGAACGAGCAACAAGTGAGGGTTTGCTTGTTTGGTGGTGTTCAATGCAATGCAGTGCACGTATGCGCCCTTCTCTTTCGTGAAACTGAGTGCAAGTCGTGCAGGAGGAAGAGGCTGGTGGGCTGGCCGCCGGTGAAGAGCGCTTACCGCCCGCGCAGCCGCGGCAACGGACACGTGAAGGTGAAGATGGAAGGGGTGCCCATCGGGAGGAAGGTGGACCTGTCCCGCCACGCCTCCTACCACCAGCTCCACCACACGCTCCGCCTCATGTTCCCCTCCTCCGCTTCTCACCATGGTGATCCATACGCCGTCGCCTACGAGGACGGGGACGGGGACTGGATGCTCGTCGGAGACGTGCCGTGGGAGTAAGTTGTGGATTCTTAATTTGTTCAGCGCGCATTCCCCTGTCATTGCATCGAATCGAATGGTTGACTGACAACGGTGTTGAACCGACCTCTTGCAGGGACTTTAGCCAGTCGGCCAAACGCCTCAAGATACTCATGCAACCGACTACACATGGCATTACTGGTTGAGTTTGGGCGTCATGATCTGCACCGGCGTCTGTGTCTAGTTAATTAGCTTACTGAATAATTGTAGTATAATGTTTTTTTTGCGGGTAATTTTAGTATAATGTTTTTTTGCGGGGGAATTTTAGTATACGACCAACGAAAGTTGGGCTCGAACACGGTCTGGGCTGATGAGAGTGGCGCATGCAGGCACCATAAGCTTACTAAATGTGTCATCGTTGCGGTTCTTGCCTCCCTACCAAAATGCAACGTCGACAATATTTTCTTCGCTGCGATATGTGAGTGATGTGACTTGTATGTGTGCCCATTCAGCGGCTGCGACAGTTTTGCCTGATTTTCCACTAATTAACCGGGTAAATTTCTTCTTCTTAATTAACGAAAACTCTTTGCACATGCCATGCATCAATACAGTGTCGAAGTTGCCTCGAGATTTGTACTATGCGATACTACTTTGAGTTGTATTCCTCTCACTCTTGTCTTTTATGCATGCATTTGTTTTAGTTTTATTCCGGTACGTTTTCAAATAAGTTTCAAATAGAATTAGATACACTTATTTGAAATATTTGATACAACTGTCCAATAATTTCATAACTTTTTTAGACATAAACCATTCTCCAGCCGTTTTTTATAGGTCTGTTATAGTTTATTAGTTGTTATAACCATGTACATAATCTCTCTATGTTATTATTCAACATATAAAAACTGAGTAGTTTTAACATGCTCCCTCTTACCCCCTCTTTTGACATGGTAAGAGTATATAATAGATCTAAGCCGTTGATCTCATTAATCAGTGGTCTGATTAACTCTTACATTCTTTCCTTACATGTAAAAATAGGGGGTAAGAGGAAGCATGTTAAAATTTGCCATAAAAACTATAGTGAGGATATTCCCTTTGTAAATAAAGCGGGCATTGGTTTTTTTTCAAAGTCCAATTTTTTTCTTGATCAAGTTTATAGAAAAACTCTTAATATCACAATACTGACCTTGTACATGTGTTGATATTTGTTTCTGTAAACTTGATCGAAGATAACGTTTTATGTTTGAAAAAAATAATAGACCTTATGAAAAGGAAACGAGAGTATCAATTTTGACATATTTCACCGTTATTCGTAAATTTCCAGATTTAAGTCACGATTTTTCCAACAAAATTCACATCAATTTCACATGATTTCAAACATATTGTCACAAATTTTGGTCATTTCTAAACAAGTATCAATAATTGGTCCAATCATTAAAAAAACATTGTGATTGTATTCAGTTGCTTCATTCTTCTATTAATGGGTTTCAAAAGCATTCCACAGATAATTCACATAAACTTGATTAAAAACAGATATGTTAGAACCATTATACAGGCACCCGAGAGACATTGCACTGAATTTTGACACAGACTAAATTTTGCAGAGATGTTTTTCAGTGGATTTTTAGAACTATTTCAGTGACATTTGTGAGACATCTCAGTGGAATTCAGAACGATACCAGAACAACAAAAGTGCAATTGTATGTCGAGTTCATCGCAGTACTGGTGTTTGTAGTTTTTGGACCTTTTTTTCATAAAGAGAGCGTCTTCTCCGATTTTCATTAACGGAAACCACATTACCATATTACAACAGCTGCAGAACTTAACAGGGAAAAAAGCATGCATGATCTAGTGAGAGCAGAAGGGCTATCCCCAACTGTCCCGAAAAGATCACATAAGGCAATCAGATACGGCCCCGCGGATAACCTACATCTCAAGGAGAGGTTTAAAATGGAAGTTTGGACAAAGTTTCTGGCCATACACAACCAGACTCACAATTGACAAAGAGCATGAAGGCAAATGAACATCTTCAATAGCGACCAAGAGCAAGAAGAACAGACAGCATTTTGTCCCCCATAGCAGCTTGACCCTGCCACGATCCTGTTCGCCCCAATCCTACATTCATGAGTCGGCTTAAAACTTCACTTGCAATCATCTCAACCATTCTTACGCCTCACTTCATTGTTCTTTGCTTCTGGGTTTTTCGGCAAGATATTTCAGTCATGAAGCCATTTAATAATCATATTAACAAGAGTACAAGGATCAGTCACCTGGTTATTACTACCTCCTTTCCGATTTATAGGGTTCAATTCAAAAATCTCATCAACTAAGGTAGACGATGAGTGGTGGAATAATTTTTGTAGTTTGCAAAAGCACTCAATTAATGCACTCGTTTTCCTCCAAAAATTACGTTTACCAATGCATTAATTGCAATGCATGCATGCATGAAGTCCATGCATTGATTAATTTTCTCTTAATACTTACATGTAATGATTATATGCACCTTGAAATCTGAACATGTGGTAGGGAACCATCAAATTGAGACTTATAAAATGAGAAATCTAAAATTTTGAGATAGGTCCTATAAACCGAAAAGAAGGGAGTATCAAAGATAATGCTATTTTTCAATTTCCAAATAGTCCAGAAAATGGCAGAGATGCCTGCACAACTAGACTTTTTTCACACATATTAAATCTCAACAGCCAAGTGTTAAACAAATTACTAAATATCAAACAACAATATCAACGCAAGGGACAAATCTAACTAGGAACTATGCATGCAACCGCTCTACTCGTTCGCCGCCGCTGGTGTTGTGCTTGTGCCGCCGCGGAGTAGGCGCGCGCATGCCGACCAAGCTTTGCATACGCCCACAATGACGCCCGCTGTTTAGCCGCCTTAAACCATCACTAGTAGAAAAGAGGGCTTTGGTTCAGGCCGGGTCAGCCCATTAGTCCCGGTTCAGTCCAGAACCGGGACCCATGGGGACATTGGTCCCGGTTCGTGAGGCCAGGGGCCTGCCGGGCCTCGTGGGGGCATTGGTCCCGGTTCGTCATGCCCCTTTGGTCAATGGGCCTCGCTCCTGGCCCACCACCATTGGTCCCGATTGGTGGATTGAACCGGGACCACAAGCTTTCCTTTAGTCCCGGTTCATGCCACGAATCGGGACCAATGAGGTGCCTATATATACCCCTCGCTCGCGAGCAGAGCACTCAAGTGCTCTGTTTTTCTCTGGCCGGCGATGGGAGGGCTTTGTGGTGCTCTACCTCACCTCCTATGCACATGAGGTGTTCGATGAAATGCCCGAGCAACACTAGTAAACTTTCTCCTCTCGAAGCTTGACCTCAAAGCTCCATTTTCCTCGAGATTGGTCTAGGTTTAGTGGCCTATCACGTCCCACTCCCGTCTTCATCGCCGTCGATCGCCCGCACCGATCTCGTCGCCGGCACCACCGTGGTGAGCCTCTTGTTCTTATCTTCTTTCTGAAAGAAAAAAATTCTTACTTTAGATAGATACTTGTCTAATTTCTTACTTTTATTATTGCTTGTTATTATATAGTGCGATGGTTTTGGTATCCGCCCCCGTCGGCCCTCGTCTTGGCTATGATTCGGATGTGGTATGTATTATCATTTTATAACTATTTGGTTCATTTATTGTTTATGACAATTATGCCGACCAACGTGACATAGATTTTATTTATCTAGGAGGTAGTTGAACCAGAAATTCCAACCGACCCTATTGTCGAGAGGTTAAATTTAGTTGAAGAAGAAAACAATTACTTGAAGGAAAAAAATTGAGGAGGAGAAGATGATATTGGAGTTGCATGTTGCGGATGTCGTCGATGATCACAAGATCAAGATGGATGCAATGCGGTTGAAGATGAGAATGATTAGAAAATATGCCATTCATACTGAGGCTTGGTATCATTATGTCGTTGGATCAATTGTTACCTTGGTTGCGATTATGATCGCATTTGTTTTCGCATTGAAATGTTTTACATAGTTTCAATGTATGGTTTAATTAATTAGATGCTCTGGAGAGCTATATGTTGTTAGATGAGAATTATATATGTACTTTGGTTTTAATGTGATGATGAACTTCTATTAATTTGGTCACTTAATTATCTATTCATGATGTTCTGTGATGGTTTTTGACACACTTAATTATATATAATGCACGTAGATGAACCGGCAATGGATGTACGGTGACAGACACACCTCCGAGTATATTAAGGGCGTGCATGATTTTCTCGAAGTGGCTGTGGCAAACAAGCATAATGGTTTTATGTGTTGTTCATGCCCTAAATGTGGGAATACGAAGTCTTACTCTGACCGGAAAATCCTTCACACCCACCTGGTTTACAATGGTTTCATGCCACACTATAATGTTTGGACGAGGCACGGAGAAATAGGGGTTATGATGGAAGACGATGAAGAAGAAAAGGACGATGACAACTATGTGCCCCCTGAATACGATGATGCTGCAACGGGGGAAGTTGCTGAAGATCAAGAGGAACCAGACGATGTGCCTAATGATGCTGCAACGGGGGAAGCTGCTGAAGATCATGAGGAACCAGACGATGTGCCCGATGATGATGATCTCCGCCGGGTCATTGTCGATGCAAAGACGCAATGTGAAAGTCAAAAGGAGAAGCTGAAGTTCGATCGCATGTTAGAGGATCACAAAAAAGGGCTGTACCCCAATTGCGAAGATGGCAACACAAAGCTCAGTACCGTACTGGAATTGCTGCAGTGGAAGGTTGTGAATGCTGTGCCTGACAAAGGATTTGAGAAACTACTGAAAATATTGAAGAAGAAGCTTCCAAAGGATAACGAATTGCCCGACAGTACATACACAGCAAAGAAGGTCGTATGCCCTCAAGGATTGGAGGTGCGCAGAAGATACATGCATGCCCTAATGACTGCATCCTCTACCGCGGTGCGTACAAGGATCTGAACGCATGCCCGGTATGCGGTGCATTGCGGTATAAGATCAGACGAGATGACCCTGGTGATGTTGACGACAAGCCCCCTAGGAAGAGGGTTCCTGCGAAGGTGATGTGGTATGCTCCTATAATACCGTGGTTGAAATGTCTATTCAGAAACGAAGAGCATGCCAAGTTGATGCGATGGCACAGTGAGGACCGTAAGAAAGACGGGAAGTTGAGAGCACCCGCTGACGGGTCGCAGTGGAGAAAAATAGAGAGAAAGTA